GCTTGGAGGCTGGGCTTTTACCAGAGTCCAGCTCCTTCACCGCTTTTTCCACAGACACATAAAATGTTATCTGTTTGTTGATTCCAGGAGATTCCAAGAAACTTGGCGTCCGGCTTGTTGGCATAGATTTCTAAAGCTCCGATTGGCGAGATTTCTTGTATGAAATCACCCAGGGGACAAGAATTACAATGCCATTTACGCAACGGAAAATGACCGTCTTGGAAGACATTGAACATCAGTTTAATTTTATGTTGAGCCTCCTCGATCGAGTTTGCTCCGAAAACACAGTCATCCATGTAGAACGTGTTTAAAACTTCCTGAATGAAATCCCGATCGTTCGGATAGATCTTCAATGACTGTTCCAGGTGGTGCCGGATACCCTGGCAATGGAGAAAAGGAGAGCACACCAACCCGAAATCTAACCGAGTCGCCCAAAATTCGACTATTCACCGCCAGTCGAGGTTCACCGAATTCCTCTCGCAGACGATTTTTTGCCGTTTCGTAGTTCTCAGCGGTCATATTGAGATGCCTGATTTTGCTGAGCGCGTTCCCGGTTAGAGCGTTCCTGAGGATCCAAAACTTCTCCAGAGGGGTATCATCTTTGGAATCCACGAAAGTGGTGAAGAGATCCGAAAATTCTTTGTACCGCTTCGGATCGCCATTAAATTTCGGCAGTTTGATTGCCTTAGCAAAACTGGGGTGCATTTTGTTGCCAGTTGAGCTTGAAGTCGACTCGTTTCGAGACTGACTGCGAATTAGCTCCGACGACGATTCAGTCGGAATTTGGGGATTATGAGAGGATCCCGGTAAATCATGCTGAGACACACCCGCAGAGGTAGAGTCATCGACTGCACTTGTCGAAGCTTGAACCTTGAGCTCGCAGACATTTCCAACCACCGTCGCGCCGACGAATTCGGTTTTCGGATACAACGCGGAACGCGGAGAGACACTAATTTGCGGATTCCCCGGTTCGTTGTTCAGAGACGACGCATCTGGCTCTGGATGTACCGAGGTCCCGGCGAGCACTTCGTTCGTTGGTGGAAGAGACGTGTTTTCCGCGACGGGGAACAGCCTGGAAACGCTCTGAGGATCCAGAACCGCCCACTTGTGCTGGACTGAAGGCGTCGTAGAAAGTTGATGGTCTAGACTTGTCGATTGGAGGCGGACTGCAGACGAGACAGGGATATTTACGGCCGGATCGACCAGCTGAGACTCGACGATCTCCCCTGACGCTCGCAGGTGATCATACAATTCATGAAGATACATCAAGGTCGAATCCATCAGATCTTCTGTGTTGACTTCGTCTTCCACCGAGACTTCTTGAGCAGCACGAGCGGCAACAACGGCTCTTCGATTACCGACCTCCAAGAGGCGCTCCTTGAGCGGTTGCAGAGCAGCTAAGTATTGTAGAATCCGGCTGCTCAAAACCTGCTTTTCGGAAGCGAGCTCGTGGATCTTGATAATTTTTGATGATATACGCTCAGTTTGTTCTGCAGGTACTGATACGTACTGTTAAGATCCGTGAGCTCTTCGAGTACTGAAGCGTAGGAAGCGTCGAGCTGGAGATCATGGTTTCCGTCAGCGATTGGCACCTGATCGTCCGATTCCTTCGAAGTTCCGAGAGCATCCGAATAGGAGCCCTCCGGCGAACTTCCAGGCGGCTGACGAGAAGCCATAACTGAAAGCGTTGAGCGTTGTGCGGCGTGATAAGCCTAACGACGTAGAGCACCAAGCACCGCACGAATTTCTGGCGAATGAGTTTCGCTCTACTTCTGACACCAAATGATGTCTCGCACCCCTCCGACCACCATATGGATATTGAAGACACTGTAAAATCCTGAAATGGCACGGTAGGGTGGACGGTGGACTGGATGATTCGTGGACCCCGGAGTAGACCTCCGTGCGAGTCCGATCACCACGAGTAACTGGCTCTGTTCCATGATGGCGACCCATCACCGAACTCGCGACGACGAAGTTATGCGCCGCGCGTAGCTGCAGGTTTCCGTCCTCCGTACACCGTCCCATGATATATTTATTGAACCTCCTTATGGAAGATTATATCAGTTTCATGCAGAATATCATATGTTTTATGCTGACCTCCGAAGAGCTCAACGACCATGTATGACGTCCGAGCGCAAACCGGCAGGGTTCGCGACAGAAGCGTTAAATTTTCGGCCGAGAGGAGTGTCACTTTGGGAGGGAGGATGACGCACGAATAAGAAGAAACGTTGCAAGTACAGCGTGGGAATGAGGCAGAGAACGCAATTCATTACGTGTATGAATGGCCACGTGCGAATAACGCAACTCATCAAGATGAAAGAAATAAAAAGGCGCTGAAACTCGAGTTTTTCCCCGGAGTTCTCCCTTACGCATTCGGAAAGCTGATGTCTGGGCGAAGGCGAGGAGGGAGTCTTGGTTGAGACTCGCAGAAAAAAAGCTACAAACCGACGGTGAACTTTGAGAAATGTCCTGCCGCGGTGAGAGAGGCGCGCTCTATGAGACAAGAGCGAGAACGGAAGGGGGACCCAATGCCGGGCTTTTCGGACACATTCCTGCTAAGTAAGTGAAGCCACACTGAAGCAATGGGAAAGTCCCTCGCAAGTTTGCGGTGAAAGATAGCTGAAAGCTTTTCCCTGTCCTGTATTCATTCTTGCTCGAAAGTCATTGATGCGGGCCTTTCGCTACGCGATTGCGCGTCCGGAACGGGAATATTCGGAGCCTGAGCGATTCGACGAGATTATTCTCTATCAGCTTATGTTTCAAGACTCCCTGTGTCCGGTGTGACTGTTCTTTGTCTTCGTTTGTTCTTTTTCGCGCCGGAGTTCCCGATTTCGGTTCCGGAAATTAACTTCCGTTCTCTTTGATTCTCAATGGAGCGTACACGATATCGGACGCAGTCATTTATTCCAAAACCGCATGAGGAATACTCGATTTTAGCGGAGAAATTTCCCCTGAGGAACTCCGATGTCCAGCTCGCGGTGAAGTCTCGCGGATCCAGAGGAGAATCCTTTGGAGATGACACATATTCAGGCCATTCCCCAAACGATCCTTCAAAATCAAATCCGAGAAGGAAAAAGGAACTCACTCTGTTCCTGAACAACACTCGCGCTCACAGGGATGCTTTTTCCAAGAGGACGTATCCACGTCTCCGAGCGCATTCTCCACTTGCAGAGTATTTGATGTCCTCTCCCCACCCGGTCTGGGTCATTGGCTTCGGCCAGGCTCGAAGCTATCTCTTATCTCTCAATAAGTGAATTCGAACGCGAGATGACTTCATGCATGTCAAGACCCGATGGGTCTCTGCAGTTCTTCGGAACCAAATCTCCGTATGAGTTCATTCGGAGAGAACGATCATCCACTCTTAGTTATGGTGATGCGGTTAAAAATCACGACAGTCACCCAGCAACGAGCGTACTGGTCTCAAAAGCTCCCACGAATTTGAGAACCTCGCTTTCCAAGCAAGCGAGAAATCGGGATGCTGAATCTGTCGAATGGAGTCTCCCGCTTCGATGCCCAAGAAAAATATACAATACATACTGCTGTTGTGGAATGCGTCAGAGACCGGCCTTCGAGACGATTCGTGCCGACTTTCGCGGAGTTACCGAGTGGGAAAGCGAAGCCTTCGAGATCCCGAACTCGGTACCTGATGCTGAAACCATCGGTAACGAGTCGACAATGATTTTCTCCTCCCTTGCTCCCCGCCCGGAAAACAGGGAGAGTCAGAGGTCTTGTTCAGATTCGGAAGAATGCCTAATCAATATTCCGAAGTCGATCGTTCCTCGAATATCCCATACGGAGGGCCGGACCCACAGCGACCTCTCATAGGACTCTCTGAAGCGGGGAACGAGATCAGGCTCCGGAAAATCGTCGTACGCGGGCTGCGCATTGTTGGAGTCACTTCGCGAGCGCAACGCTGAGATATTCGGAAGGGACATGGCGGTCGAATGTGGTTTCTATTCTCCAGACCCGATTGGAGATCTCCGGGAACGGATTATTTCGGTCTTTTCAAGGCTGAAGGGAGAATCCGGTGAATTTCTTGCCGTTGAGCGGCTTTGTTGTCGCTCCTCGGGCTACACCTAGCATTCGCTCCGACTCGGAAACCGTCGTATGAAGATGCAGCGGAATCGGGTATAATCGCGCGAGATCGAGTTCGGCTCTCGCTCGAAGTTCCCTCCGGAGAATCGCATATTCGATCAATATTTCTCGCAGTGAACAAGATAGTGGAACTGCCTATCCGGGGAACATCACTGTTCTCTGCCCCAAATTGCGTTCCTGAACTCCTCGGCTAGTCACAACTGTGACCAACAATACATTGCTCAACCTGTCCGCAGAACAGATTTGAGCGTCCCGGAGGATCTTTCCTCGATAGGGACTCGTGGATTCAGCATGGAATGAGGCTACCGGAGGTGCGGCGCTTTCCGTTCAATCTCGATTCGGGTTCATCGGACCACCATTCTGATCCCTATGGAGCATTAGGGGAAATTTCCAGCGGAGAACGACGTCGATGTTCCCCGGAGAGTGCCCTGAAACCTGGATGGTTTCGTCCTCTAGCCAGGACTCAATCCTGATCGACGCGGCCCAACTCCAGGCCGGCAGCGACGAAACGAAGAAGCCGAATTTGTTCAGGACAGACGCATGGATGTATTCGAACCTGGAGCTGCCGGAATGATTTTCCTCGTTTCCGTGCATGAAACCCTTACAATATCGCAGAGCGACGGGAAGCATCCGACTAGAGGAGTGCCCAGAGAGGGGAAAGGCAAACGATAACGTGATAGACTCCCGGATGAGCTGAGATTATCCGCGGTGGGGAGCGAAATCGCTGGAAGGAGTGTTCTCTCGACTTTCGCAAATACAGTAGGACCTCGTTATATTCGACTCGGATACAGCAGCAGACAAAGGGTGAAATTGGACCGATTCGGCCGGTCCATTCACGTCCATCAAAATAGGCTTCTACTGTACATACCAACGCCGGTGCGACCGTGCCTTCTCGATGTGGACCCTATGCAATGAGGAGCGTCTTCGGGGGACCGTCCTGACGTGGGAGTCCAGTATCGACTAAGTTGATGCACATCGGAAAAAAATGAAAAAACGAAGGGCTTTCGCGCCGCCGCCGCCATTGACGAGTTGGGTCAGGGTCTGCCCGTCGATGTCGTCTCAAGACGATGGGGTTCATCAGGCTGAAAACGGCGAGGAGACCGAAGACGCTCTTGACACTGGGAATACTCAAATTTCTGGAGCACCCGAGGATCTCGGGGTCGCACCGAGAGCTCAGGACGAAGCGGAACTCTCGGAGGAGAAAATCGCCTCGCATTCCGACCGTGATGATCCCGTTGATGATTCTCGGCACTCTTTGGAGCGCTTGATAATCGGAGGCGCGATGCCTCTGAGCATTCGAAGTGCTCGAAGCTTACGGCGTCCATCATAGAATCGAACGAGGGTTTCGGATCTGCCAAGATCTTCACAAGACACTGCGTGACGAATATTTCCCTCTTCGATCGCCCGGAACGTCTCCCGCAGCGTGCGTTTCCACTGATACCCCCGATCACTCGGATGAAACAATGAGCGGCGGTCATGAGCGAAGCAGCAGCAGCGGAGTACGCAGGAAGAAAGCTACTTAGGCGAGTCTCGTTGTATTCTGTGACCACCGATGGGCGGGAGATATCGCCCGAAATAGTATATTCACTGAATCGGTAACGACCGGCAACAACTGGAGCTCACGAAGGATAGTGAGATCGACCGCCAGCAAGAGAAATTCTTGACGGCGACAGATCGCCCGCGAACGGTGGAACGCCTTATCGGACCCGATTCGGTGAGCTGCGGCAATCGTCTGCTATAAGCGCGCTGCGGCCGAAGAAAATCGAGATAACCGTTCGAGCCGGATTCTCCATTGAACCATGAGATGGGTTCTTATTCGCAAACTGGCAACCAGCACCAGAGGAGCGAATTTCCACCGAGAACATTCCACTTCTATCCGGGCCAATATGTTGTTATCGGGGCTCACCGGAGCGAATTACCACCAAGCTATGCAGGGAAAATCCTCTTGCTGGCGATGCAACCGTGGGGTTCACTTACAGTGGAGGTCTTCTCCGCCGAGAGTGCATTGTATTAGGGATAATTGTTTTTTGTCCCTCTTCTGAGGGTAGCTTGTAGCTGTAGGAATGCGGTGTATTCACACGCAATCTGGATTAAGCGATGAACAGTGAGGGAGACGTGCAGGAGAATAATGTTGAAATGAGGAATTAAGCATCTCATTGCATATTCAACAAAGCGGAGCAACTTGAGATCCTAGAGGAGTCTTCGCTCTGTTCTCTCGTCGTTTGACACGATGTGAGATTGATTGGAAACTGCTGGCCCTTGCGGCTACTCGTTCCCTCAGACGAAGAACGTTCACGGTCCGGAAGCGTTGCTCTCATGAGCATTCCCGTCGAGAGCCTTGATCGACGGACAATGAGAATGGATGGCATCTTGGATCTGTCGTTGTACCCATGGGTATACTTATTATTGAGAAGAAGCCGTCATGGAATGCGAGGTGGAGAGAGAACGCAATCAATAATGCTTATGAATCAGTTACGAATGAGGAAGACGCAGGGCGCCGTTCTCCCGAGTGGGATAGCGGGAGCGGAGTTCCCTCAAAACAATGCTCAATATTGAGGGTTCAAAACTGACCTTTGGATCC